ATTGAGATGGGAGCACCACAAAATAGAATATTAAGCCAACTACTCACTAAAGCATCTTCGAGTTGTTTCTCGTCGTATGGTGAGGAAGACGACGGCTCACAGTTCATCTTTTCACTAAAAATGAACAATTCGAGAAATTTTAGATTTAAGTATTGGTTGGCTTATTCAAATTATAATGGCTATACTGATCGTGAATAAATTCTCATAATTTGTGCCTCATTCATAAAGTTATCGTATTTTCTATTTATTGAATCGTTTAGTAATTTATTGAATTTTCATGGTTTGCTTTGTTCGACAGTGAATGTGAATTGTTGAGTGTTGGATTAAGCGCATATTGCTCTCATTGAGTGCTATTTTCATTTTCATTTTTCAGTGACTTTATATTCAGAATTCGATTGTTTCTTTACATTATTATCATTATTAGTTTTCCCATTATTATTCCAACTCTCCATTACTGAAATTTTCTTTTTTGCAGATCAATCATACGTAGTACGGTCAACAAAAAGATGTCCAATTGGCCAAAATTCGATTTTCCATCGCCAAAATACTCTGCGTGGACTCGGAAACGGTCGTTGATGAATGGTGAGGCTGCGCCGAAACGAAGACTGAATTTTATTCCCGCCATCGACGAAAATTTCGAAAAATCTTCAACTTCGTCGCCTTCAACAAGCCGATGTTGTATTGTCAAATTAGACGATACCAAAAATCGAGTCATATCGAAAAGTAGATCAATGCACGAGAACGTATCATCGTATACGAAAGCTAGTGCACTTCATCCATTGAAAGATTCAGAAGCGATCGGTGATCGCCTGCAGGAAACTGATGTGGCATCGAATCACAAATTCGGAGATAAGGCCAAGCTGATTCGACGGAAAGGTTCAGACTCATCGGTTGATAATCATCAACGAGAATTTAGTGATCGCAATAAGCAGTTTCGTCATTGTCATTCTGTTCCTGTGTTTGATTTATCTTATGTGTCTCCAGTCCTTGATAATAGCTTCCTGAAACGTGCGAAACATAAGGAATCTTTGCAAGTGACACCTCCAAGTGATGCTAAATATTCGCAGTCTCATGATTTTGAAGCAGAACCTGAAATCGAGAAGAAATCTGGGCCGAAATTAGGATGTGAATTGAAAGCAAGAAATAAAACGCCATCATCAAAGTTGCTGGATTCGCCAGATGTGTTTGCATCGGCTTCGTCAAGCTGCGATTCAACACCAGATATGAAATTGAAAAAGAGTGGAGCCGGAATATCGGGGTCATCCGACCTGGANTTTGCGTCAAATGTGATGCAATAAAGCCAAGCGGCGTTAACCCTGAAGCTGACAGTGAAACTATACCGTATGTATTACCTGGTTTCACGCGAGTTAGTGATCCACGACGTGTCAGAATTCCGATTCCCGAAGAGGTGGAGGGAGGAGATTTTGACGTATCGCTTGATCTACCTGATGGATATGATCGTTCTTACGTGTCTCCAGTCCTTGATGATAGCTTTCTGAGACGTGCAAAACATAAAGAATCTTTTCAAGCAACACCCCCAAATGATGTTAAATCTTCGAATTCAACAAGGTCTTCAAAAGATTCATCTAAACAAATAGTTGCCTCACCTGAGACAACTAAATTATCTTCGGCTCGACCTGAAGTGGAAAAATCGTCTTTGAAGTATTGTCAGATTCCATCGTCTTCAAAACAGCAACAACAAGAAATGTCATCATCAATAACAGACCAGCACTATTATGGAAATTGTTCGCGAGCTAGTCCCCAAGGGTTTCCCGATTCCCGAAGAAAAGTGATCGAAAACGAACTTCTGTCTTCTTTGCATCAAGCTCATGACTTTGAACCTTCCAGTTGTCAGCAACAGCCAGAATACTCGTCGCAGAAGGATTCAAGTTTAGTGGACCCATTTGCAAGCTGTAGTTCGCAGTCTGAATCAATGCTGAAGTCCGCAACTTCAGATGATAGCTGTTCTATAAAAGCAGTTGCCAGTAACCCACAGAAATCGCAGGTTTTTTGTGATGCTGATTTGACGATGGATTCGGATCTTTTTGATTCGCCTTCTCAAAAATTTCTTTTCGAATTGGCTTCACCTATTGAACCGATAAAAAAAGCATTGTGTTCTGAGGGTGATGAAGAAGTTCCATTAAAAGAACGAGGCAAACATTTCCGTCGCAGAACTTCTACACTGTTAACAGCAGATGAATATAACGGTAACGTTGATAATGGAATAGATCATGGTAATGAGGAAGATGATAATAATGTCAATGATAAAGATAAGTCAGTTATATGTGCCGAAATGGAAGTCAATAGCTTAAAGGATAGTGGTGATGATTCCGTATGGTTTGATGCGAAATGTTACAATAATGAGCCCTTCACAATAGCAACATGTTCAACGCAGACTGAGTTTATCCGAAATTCCCCTCAAATATCGCCTCAAAAATCTGTGGAAACTGATGTTTCCCCAGTGAAAACCCCACTTGCCAGTTCATTATGTTCACAAAGAAACGCAAACTCCAATCCTCCTCAGATATCATCTGCTGAATCTTCATCGTTGGGATGCAGGGTATCAAATGAAATTGAAGTGAATGATATTTGGGAAAGACGCTTAACAGAGGCATCGGGAGCAACAGTTCGGGCAAATCACCGGTTAAGTAAACTAGCTGATGCTTTGAAAAGACGTCAACAGACTCTCCGATCGGATTTAGCGATGTGGCGATGTGATATGATAAATAGCCCAGTTCTTAAGGGTTCAGCTGGTAGCAATGATAAGGGTTGTTTTGATTGTGCGATTGATAAGGCTAACGATGCGCTTGGTATTGATAAGAACAGTGGTAAAGGCAATGACAACGGTAGAGATGTGAACAGCGAACAAAAATGTGCAATGCAGATTCAACTAGATGACGCATCATCTTCATTAAAGAGATGGGGTGTTTGCTGGAGAAGGGGCAACGAGGTGGGAACGGGTAGAAGCGTTTTGATTGCAGATAGTGAACCGTTGAATCTGATTGGAAATGGGAATTTGAATGCAGTTTCAGGAAGTGATAGTTGTTGTTCAGAGCATGTTGATTCGTATTATTTGTCTTTGTATAAACCGTTGGCGAAATCTGAACTGGAGCAAAATTCTGAGAAATTAATGATTTTGTTGGCTCCGAGGTTCTATAAGATTTCGAAAAATTGATAATTTGTCGTTAGAACTTATTGAAATTATTTGATTCGTTAGCAGAACTTTTCAAAATTGAATGGAATTATTAGATGGAGATAATGTGGAATGCAAGATAAATTTTTCGAGTTCTGAAAACTGTAATTACTCTGTTCTGATAGTACTGTAATATAAGAAGTCTGTTAGTTTGTTGAGTTTCGGATTTCATATTTCTTCATTACGTTGTAATATGTCGTTGTTATTGATGCGAGGTTTTATGAGTGGAATATTTTCATGGAATTTTATGAACTCTGATCATGTGCAAATTTATACTTTTGTCGAAGAATTAGCTCTTAATGACGTTGTGATAAAGTATTTGCATACAGTTGCGATCAATTTTGCATTGATTGTGATTTTGCATTGTATATTTTCCGAGTGTATCGGATTTTGTTTAGATTCTAAATGTTATATTGTGTATAATGACTTTACTAGTGCATTGAATTAGTATTGTATATTATCGTAGGTGCGAGGAATGGTCGATGTTCCGTTTCGCTTCTTTGATATCTGAACTGTAGTCGCGTATTATTCAAGAAATTGCTGATTCGAAATTGAATTCTGGTTGAGAAAAATGGTTGCGTCGTTTTTACAGAAAGTTGTATTCAGTTTTATTATGTTCAATGCTGCGATTGGTTATGGACTATATAGGTTTTGTTTGCTTGTTTACTATTGTTATTGTTACAGTACTTTGATTTATTTGTTTGCTTTGATCACGTATTTGTAACTATGTTCGTTGTTGATTTTTTATTGTGATCGGTAAATAATAATAATAATAATAATCAGAAAGAAAGATGTTCAGTCTTGCTTTTTTTTTCGTCTTTAAAAATTGGTTATTCGAGTGACGTTCACGGTCGCCAGATTCGAAAGTCGTGATTCTGATAATTTTCACAGCAATTTGAGTTAAAACGAAAACCGCAGTTTTCATAGTTTACCGCGGTTCAATTTGAAAGTAAGTAAGTTCAATGAGAAAAACACCAATTTCAGTAATTTCTGTGGTGATTTTTCCCAGAAAATAACATGTATTTTGCAGATTCACAGAAATTCAGTCACCTTTAGTGCTGATCGTACATTTAATGATGCCATTAATGGTCTGGCAAATCCTGCTAATAATAGCGTTCTTTCCCGAACAATTTCTGATGGACTTTATCGATGAATTCTATCGTTACGATAGTGCGGCTGGTGATCAATTGTTATTATTTGACGATGACATAACTCACCAAGAACAGATACATTCACACGGTGATGTGCCAAGGAGTCCGAGACCACTGAGGGACGACAACGACATTGAGTTTGATAACGAATTGCAGCTTTCTGAAGGTTGACTGAATGTAGGAGTGATTGTGATGTTGAATTAGAGGCTGCTTTTCCGAGTAGTATTCACGTGAATTATTAATCGGTGCTTACATAATGGTGTGCTTGATAAATTCCTACCTTTGCGTGATCAGATGACATTTCTAATGTTCGAACGATTGCCTGAATTGTTCATCTAACATGGAATATGTAAACTGATTATATGCTGCTTATTGTTCCTGATCACAAAATAATGATCTGATCAGTTGATGTCTGGCTATTTAGTGCAATATTACTGCTGAATCCCTGCAAAATTTTCTGAACCATACAAGCACTATGTTTATTCTGCAAGTATTCTTGATATCCCAAAGTCTCCTTGGAAAAATTATTGCCAATTGCAAAAGCGGCTTCAACATATGTCTTATTGAAACCAGGTCGGGAAGGAATCAAATTCGATGGCTGTGCACTGAAACGATTACAATATATCGGGTTCCGGAATAAGTCATTAAATTTATTCATTACATAGAAGAAAACAGAGACGATATAAATTATGAATGTCTATGAGCCTTATGAATCTCTTTGCATCAATTATTTTCATACCAGATTTGCTCAGATGTATTTTAGCATCACCAAGGGTGACGATTAGGTTTACGCTTAAAACTAACCAGTGGGCATGTCCAAGAGGAAGTCCGAGTTTCAAGTTAGTTCTTTAGGAGAAGAAAGCAGGATGCATATTTCCAGAATGCATAAGCCGAAAGATTCACGAGATTAGAATTCGGAAACGTCGATAGAATGTATCGACCATGTGATCAACTTCTGCAACGCATAAGCTAATTTCAGCACCAGTTGCGATGAAGTGTTTCATTTTGACAATCAGCCATCATTTCCATCAAAATGTGTTTATTTCGATCAAGTTGCAAAATATAAAATGTCATAAAGTATACATTTACTCATGCTCACAAGAATTTTTTGAGGTACAATTAAGCGAAATTGCACCCAACAATGGTAATTTCGTCATATTTAAACATAATTTGTTACATTCAGCGGACGTACATATATGATACACAAGTGAACATGCTGATGTTCTGTCAAGTCAATAATATTTCATTTCATATTTCGAAATCTCTAAAAATTGGGATCTTTACTCCAGTCGAATCACCTTCTGTTGGAAGAATGTCTCCATAAATAGCATCACCAATATGACGACGATATCGTGGACCACCTCTAATAGCTATGGCAATACCTGAAAAATGAACTTTGTGAAGACATTTGGAACGAGCGTTCGATAGCGCAGACTTGAGGAAACCGGAATATATTGGAGTGTATTCATTAGTCTGATTAACTCGGAACATATCATCTCAAGATATTAACACAAAACTAACCCTCAGCAATTCGTTTTTTTGCAGAATTTTCCAATTTCTTCCATGTTTTACTCAACCATCCGCACTCCGATGGTTGTGCGATTAGGCAGAAAATACACACAACTAGAATTATCCGTTGGACTGAGAACATCTCTGTTCAAGTTGGGGTGGTGAGAGTACGGAACGGGAAGCAAACGTAAGTGATGCTGTTCATACGCAACGATTCGCCTATTTTATACACTTCATTGATAGGATGTAATCTGATCTGTGTGATTCACAGGCAAAAAATATTAGTCATCAGCATTTTTAATTGTAGATTTTTTGAATGAGCAATCATGATTTTGTTTTGGTGTTGATAGAACAGGTGTTAAATGATAGCGACAATCAACAATCGCTGATTATATCAGTGAATGAGACGTTAAAGAAGGAATCTTCTGACGAACAGCAACAATGAATGATATCATTTCACAGCGTGATGACACATCCAAATTACAGGGGTTGGCACATTCAAACCTACCGTACTCTCAGCTTTGAGAAGTAACATATCAATTTCTTCACACCAGT